TGAATTTGCATGCTGCAACAAGGACTTGAATTGTGCATTCCAAGATAAAATAAATCTAAATTTGTTTTTTATTATCAAACACATAAAAAAATTTTGTATCAAAAATGTGTTCTAAAGTATAGAATATTTCATTATGTTCATTAAGATATAAAGCTTTCGTCAATAACAATGTTGAAAATACAAAGTTGACTCCTGATGGATGGCGAACTGATGGGGAAATTATATAGACTGACTCCTAATGGGAAAAATATCATACAGATCTACTCATATCAAGGAAATACCATACAGACCAACTCCTGACAGAGAAAATATCATACAGACTAACTCCTGACAAATGACATACTAAATCAACTCCCTGAGGGGCAAATATCATGAAAGACCAACTCCATGTAGGACAAATATCATACAAGACCAACTCCATGTAGGACAAATATCATACAAGACCAACTCCATGTGGGACAAATATACAAGACCAACTCCATGTGGGACAAATATCATACAAGACCTACTCCATGTGGGACAAATATCATACAAGACCAACTCCATGTGGGACAAATATTATACAAGACCAACTCCATGTAGGACAAATATCATACAAGACCAACTCCATGTGGGACAAATATCATACAAGACCAACTCCATGTGGGACAAATATCATACAAGACCAACTCCATGTGGGACAAATATCATACAAGACCAACTCCATGTGGGACAAATATTATACAAGACCAACTTCATGTGGGACAAATATCATACAAGACCAACTCCATGTGGGACAAATATCATACAAGACCAACTCCATGTGGGACAAATATCATGAAAGACCAACTCCATGTAGGACAAATATCATACAAGACCAACTCCATGTGGGACAAATATCATACAAGACCAACTCCATGTAGGACAAATATCATACAAGACCAACTCCATGTGGGACAAATATCATACAAGACCAACTCCATGTAGGACAAATATCATACAAGACCAACTCCATGTGGGACAAATATACAAGACCAACTCCATGTGGGACAAATATCATACAAGACCTACTCCATGTGGGACAAATATCATACAAGACCAACTCCATGTGGGACAAATATACAAGACCAACTCCATGTGGGACAAATATCATACAAGACCTACTCCATGTGGGACAAATATCATACAAGACCAACTCCATGTGGGACAAATATTATACAAGACCAACTCCATGTAGGACAAATATCATACAAGACCAACTCCATGTGGGACAAATATCATACAAGACCAACTCCATGTGGGACAAATATCATACAAGACCAACTCCATGTGGGACAAATATCATACAAGACCAACTCCATGTGGGACAAATATTATACAAGACCAACTTCATGTGGGACAAATATCATACAAGACCAACTCCATGTGGGACAAATATCATACAAGACCAACTCCATGTAGGACAAATATCATACAAGACCAACTCCATGTGGGACAAATATCATACAAGACCAACTCCATGTGGGACAAATATTATACAAGACCAACTTCATGTGGAACAAATATCATACAAGACCAACTCCATGTGGGACAAATGTCATACAAGATCAACTCCATGTAGGACAAATATCATACAAGACCAACTCCATGTAGGACAAATATTATACAAGACCAACTTCATGTGGGACAAATATCATACAAGACCAACTCCATGTGGGACAAATATCATACAAGATCAACTCCATGTGGGACAAATATCATACAAGATCAACTCCATGTGGGACAAATATCATACAAGACCAACTCCATGTAAGACAAATATCATACAAGACCAACTCCATGTGGGACAAATATCATACAAGATCAACTCCATGTGGGACAAATATCATACAAGATCAACTCCATGTGGGACAAATATCATACAAGACCAACTCCATATGGGACAATATCATACAAGACCAACTCCTTGTAGAGGAACTATCAAACATGACCTTACAAGGTAACTCCTTATGGGGCAAATATTATACAAGATCAACTTTTTGAAGAGAAACCTAATACTAGGTCAACTCCTTGTAGGGAAATCACTATATGTGATTTTATAAGATAGATGAAATATCAACCAGTTAGGCTTACATCATGTAACAGCAAATCCTAAAGATCAAATATTGTTTACATACCCATCATATCAAATAAAGTAACATATTGGGTCTTATTCTACAATAGAAGAACAACACAATTTTCATATTTATTGTTTTTCTAATTTACTGCAATAATAGTCAAAAGACATCTCTGAAATACAAGCACAGTGCAGTGAGTACACTTGCATAGATCTATTCTTATACAAATTGAATACATATCTGATAAGAATGTAGATTTGGTTTGTTGCAATGTAACTGTTTTTGTAGATATATCCTAAACCCAGTGCATTTACTTGACCCAATGAGACAAAATCACCTTAAACCCAGCTCACCAATCATATGAATATTCTACACCAATGAGAAATCATATGAATATTCTTCACCAATGAGACAAAATCACCTTAAACCCAGCTCACCAATCATATGAATATTCTACACCAATGAGACAAAATCACCTTAAACCCAGCTCACAAATCATATGAATATTCTACACCAATGAGACAAAATCACCTTAAACCCAGCTCACCAATCATATGAATATTCTACACCAATGAGAAATCATATGAATATTCTTCACCAATGAGACAAAATCACCTTAAACCCAGCTCACCAATCATATGAATATTCTACACCAATGAGACAAAATCACCTTAAACCCAGCTCACAAATCATATGAATATTCTACACCAATGAGACAAAATCACCTTAAACCCAGCTCACCAATCATATGAATATTCTACACCAATGAGACAAAATCACCTTAAACCCAGCTCACCAATCATATGAATATTCTACAATCATTATCAGTCAGCCAATGATTCATTTTACTCCTGTTTTTTTTCAACTTTGTGCATTAGCTTTCTGCATGTTACCTACAACTCCTTCATCTCTTTAAAAGCTGATGTGGTACAGAAACAGGGTAAAGCACTAAGGCAGAACACGGTAAGGTGTGATTTCAGCCACATAACTTAGGCTATAATCTGTACTACATAACATATATTGGGACATTTTTGCAAAGTTTCATTTTCTTTTATGAAAATCTTCAAAATGTATATTTTGCTGCAGGTTTTTTTTTCTTCTATTTTAGTATTTGATTTCTGATGATTTCCAGGTTTTTTGAAAAATGAAAATACAAAAACTTAATTTGATTTTAAACAATATTATTCCACATCACCAAAGTGCATGGCAAAATGCTGATATATAAAAAAAAAGGTAAGTACTATAAGGGTTACAATGATTATTTAAATATTACATATCAATAAATTACAACTGAAGGAAATTAAATTAATTAACATAAAACTTGTCAAACTCTAACAGACAATAGACAAATTGTACAATTTTCCATTTTTTTCATAATTCATAGGGATGAAAATTTTTTTTTTTTTTTTTAAATGCAAAAAATACCCCATATATGATATGACAATGCAGATTTTCAAAAAAAATCAATTCAAATTGGTTTGTTTTGATTTGTTTTGGTGTAGGATTTGACAAAGGATTTTAAAGGTTCCATAATATGTGTAATTTAAAGAAATGATATTGGACATGAGTGTAAATCACACAGGGTGGCTAGGTTAGGTCTAGAGGAGAGGAAAGTTCAAACTCCACTGGCAACAAATGTTTGAGAAGTATAATCACACATGTTTATAAATTTTAATTTAGTATCAAACTTATTTTGTTTCAGTAAAATTAGTATCCTTGTTATTTCCAAACCTTTATTTAAAACAGTTACAAAAGGAAATGTAAAACACAATCTAAACATTATACTAAAATGATCGATCATGCATGCTTCAAAAGAACATGCTTTCCTTAAATAAAAACACTAATGCTGTATAACGATAATCAAATCTTGTTTCATACTAACACGGACATGCTAAACAATACAGCAAAATTCAGTCAAAAGTCCTAACTCTATTTAAATCATGTAAACTATACACATTTTATAAGCTTTCAGGAACTGGATTTCTAAAAGACCGAACCTGGCTGTAGATTTTCTGATTTGGCTGATATAGTATATTATATTGTATATTATACTGCATAGTATATAGTATACGATATATGTTCTCTGTTGAAGGTAGAATGGATAATGTAGAGGCAAAGAGTGTTCTGTATTCTTGGGACAAGTAGGACAGATCTCCAAACACAGACTTACAGTGTGACAGTGTGCCTTCAATGATACTACAGGTCAAATATTTACACACAGTTACCTTCTTTCATCACTCACAAATATTTTGCTACAGTTACCTCCCTTCTATTACTTACAAATATTTTGCTGGAATAAGCCTTTCTTTTTGTAATTTTTGTTATAGTAGTATATAAAACAAAATAATGTATAGACATAAGAATACAAAATATTCTTACGATTTGAACTGAAAATTAACATACATCAAGAATGATGAAGTTACTGATCGTATTGTAGGTAAATATTTCACCTGTATAACACATAGAATCATATTCAACACATAATAGTCATTACTTAAGATTATCATTTAGAATATATATTTAATTCTATAATTGAGAACATAAAATATATGAGATTGTAGATACACAAAGATACAAACATTCAAAATTTGTACTGGAATATTGCATTATAATTATACATAGTAATAGTGAATATGGTCATAATATTTGCCTCATGATTTAACATTACAAACAATACATGAAGGTATGATATTAATTACAGGGTCTACAAGTTTTATATATAATATATACATTTCTTTTTCAGTAAAGGTAGTTAAGATAAAACATATGAGGACATTTGGATCAGGAGCCAGCAATCTAAGGACCATGCTAAACCATCTAGAGATTATTTACATTCTCACTCAAAGCTCTCATTCCATATTGTTATGATACATAGTCGCCATGCACCAAGTTAAAAGCACCTACCTGACAGGGAATATAACAAGTCTGGTTACAAACCAAACTATACCAAAGATGGCAAACAGTACATCACACAGGTGCTGGTATTTCAGGTACTTAGCCATCTTAGCTGCCTGTAAAACCAGAAGGATCATAGTACAATCATTGAATCAACATTTTGGTATTTAACATAGGTACAAATAGAACACAGCAAAACCATTCTCAGATATTAATTCCGATGAAAATCTTAAAGTTCCTTCAATGGTGTTTGCCTACAGGTGAAATAATTAGAGTTTAATTCCTTTGTAAAAAGAATACATAATTTTATCTAACATAACTTTATAAATAATAAAAATGAAGAAAAAAAATTTGTCAAACTCCTGTGATAGGATTTCACTAAGATACCTCCATCCAGAAGTCAACAGCATCGTGAATGACCAATACAAGAGTGCCGACCCGGACGAAATTTCCTGACCAGGAGAAACACAGTAAGAGCATGGTGGCTACATGGTGTGTAAACATCTCCCAGAAATCCTACAATCATCAGAATGATATATAAACAAATAAATATCTGTTACCATCTTCAAGAAATGCCACAATCATTAGCGTAATATATAATCACCGGCGTTATTTTCATGATCAATATACATTCACATATTTAAAACATACAAAAAATAGTCCTCCTCACCGTTATCATACAAATCAGTCCTCCTCACTGTTATCATACAAATCAGTCATCTCACTGTTACCATACAAATCAGTCCTCCTCACTGCTATCATACAAATCAGTCCTCCTCACTGCTATCATACAAATCAGTCCTCCTCACTGTTATCATACAAATCAGTCATCTCACTGTTATCATACAAATCAGTCATCTCACTGTTACCATACAAATCAGTCCTCCTCACTGTTATCATACAAATCAGTCCTCCTCACTGCTACCATACAAATCAGTCCTCCTCACTGTTATCATACAAATCAGTCCTCCTCACTGCTATCATACAAATCAGTCCTCCTCACTGCTATCATACAAATCAGTCCTCCTCACTGTTATCATACAAATCAGTCATCTCACTGTTATCATACAAATCAGTCATCTCACTGTTACCATACAAATCAGTCCTCCTCACTGCTACCATACAAATCAGTCATCTCACTGTTACCATACAAATCAGTCCTCCTCACTGCTATCATACAAATCAGTCCTCCTCACTGTTATCATACAAATCAGTCCTCCTCACTGTTATCATACAAATCAGTCCTCCTCACTGTTATCATACAAATCAGTCATCTCACTGTTATCATACAAATCAGTCATCTCACTGTTATCATACAAATCAGTCATCTCACTGTTATCATACAAATCAGTCATCTCACTGTTATCATACAAATCAGTCATCTCACTGTTATCATACAAATCAGTCCTCCTCACTGTTATCATACAAATCAGTCCTCCTCACTGTTATCATACAAATCAGTCATCTCACTGTTATCATACAAATCAGTCATCTCACTGTTATCATACAAATCAGTCCTCCTCACTGTTATCATACAAATCAGTCCTCCTCACTGCTATCATACAAATCAGTCCTCCTCACTGTTATCATACAAATCAGTCATCTCACTGTTATCATACAAATCAGTCATCTCACTGTTACCATACAAATCAGTCCTCCTCACTGTTATCATACAAATCAGTCCTCCTCACTGTTACCATACAAATCAGTCCTCCTCACTGTTATCATACAAATCAGTCCTCCTCACTGTTATCATACAAATCAGTCCTCCTCACTGTTATCATACAAATCAGTCCTCCTCACTGCTATCATACAAATCAGTCCTCCTCACTGTTACCATACAAATCAGTCATCTCACTGTTATCATACAAATCAGTCATCTCACTGTTATCATACAAATCAGTCCTCCTCACTGTTATCATACAAATCAGTCATCTCACTGTTATCATACAAATCAGTCATCTCACTAATCAGTCCTCCTCACTGTTATCATACAAATCAGTCCTCCTCACTGTTATCATACAAATCAGTCCTCCTCACTGTTATGTTATCATACAAATCAGTCCTCCTCACTGTTATCATACAAATCAGTCCTCCTCACTGTTATCATACAAATCAGTCCTCCTCACTGTTATCATACAAATCAGTCCTCCTCACTGTTATCATACAAATCAGTCCTCCTCACTGTTATCATACAAATCAGTCCTCCTCACTGTTATCATACAAATCAGTCAGTCATACTCACTGTTATCATACAAATCAGTCCTCCTCACTGTTACAAATCATACAAATCAGTCCTCCTCACTGTTATCATACAAATCAGTCCTCCAAATCATACAAATCAGTCCTCCTCACTGTTATCATACAAATCAGTCCTCCTCACTGTTATCATACAAATCAGTCCTCCTCACTGTTACATACAAATCAGTCCTCCTCACTGTTATCATACAAATCAGTCATCTCACTGTTATCATACAAATCAGTCCTCATACAAATCAGTCCTCCTCACTGTTATCATATCACACTGTTATCATACATACAAATCAGTCATCTCACTGTTATCATACAAATCAGTCCTCCTCACTGTTATCATACAAATCAGTCCTCCTCACTGTTATCATACAAATCAGTCCTCCTCACTGTTATCATACAAATCAGTCCTCCTCACTGTTATCATACAAATCAGTCCTCCTCACTGTTATCATACAAATCAGTCCTCCTCACTGTTATCATACAAATCAGTCATCTCACTGTTACAAATCAGTCCTCCTCACTGTTATCATACAAATCAGTCCTCCTCACTGTTATCATACAAATCAGTCCTCCTCACTGTTATCATACAAATCAGTTATCATACAAATCAGTCTGTTATCATCACTGTTATCATACAAATCAGTCCTCCTCACTGTTATCATACAAATCAGTCCTCCTCACTGTTATCATACAAATCAGTCATCTCACTGTTATCATACAAATCAGTCCTCCTCACTGTTATCATACAAATCAGTCCTCCTCACTGTTATCATACAAATCAGTCCTCCTCACTGTTATCATACAAATCAGTCCTCCTCACTGTTATCATACAAATCAGTCCTCTCACTGTTATCATACAAATCAGTCCTCCTGTTATCATACAAATCAGTCATCCTCCATGCCTACTGTTATCATACAAATCAGTCCTCCTCACTGTTATCATACAAATCAGTCCTCCTCACTGTTATCATACAAATCAGTCATCTCACTGTTATCATACAAATCAGTCCTCCTCACTGTTATCATACAAATCAGTCCTCCTCACTGTTATCATACAAATCAGTCCTCCTCACTGTTATCATACAAATCAGTCCTCCTCACTGTTATCATACAAATCAGTCCTCATACAAATCACTGTTATCATACAAATCAAATCAGTCCTCCTCACTGTTATCATCACTGTTATCATACAAATCAGTCCTCCTCACTGTTACTCATACAAATCAGTCCTCACTGTTATCATACACATACAAATCAGTCCTCCTCACTGTTATCATACAAATCAGTCAACTCAATGGTATAATACAAATCAGTCCTCCTCACTGTTATCATACAAATCAGTCATCTCACTGTTATCATCAGTCATCTCACTGTTATCATACAATTCAGTCCTCTCTCTGTTACTGTTATCATACAAATCAGTCCTCCTCACTGTTATCATACAAATCAGTCCTCCTCACTGTTATCATACAAATCAGTCATCTCACTGTTATCATACAAATCAGTCCTCCTCACTGTTATCATACAAATCAGTCCTCCTCACTGTTATCATACAAATCAGTCCTCCTCACTGTTATCATACAAATCAGTCATCTCACTGTTATCATACAAATCAGTCCTCCTCACTGTTATCATACAAATCAGTCCTCCTCACTGTTATCATACAAATCAGTCCTCCTCACTGTTATCATACAAATCAGTCCTCCTCACTGCTATCATACAAATCATGTAATGCATTTTATGTTGGAAAAAAAGTGGAATCAATGGAACCACAATTTAATGCAGAATATTCATAATTCTTTTACATAAAAAAATTGAATTTGCAAAATCTATCATTATGCAATCCTTCCAGATCTACTTGGCAATGGTCAAATACTTACTTTTCTTTTGACGTCTATAAATTGTGAAAACATCAATGACGAGTAGAATCCTATCTCTATCATGTAGTACCAAAATATAGATGGTGGGATGTGCTGAAAAATACATAACACCAATATTAGTAAATTGATCACTAAATAGAACTTAACAGGAGTACAAGGCTGTTGTTAATTTATACTGATCATCAACTTTCCAGGAGAATGGCAAAATGTCATACTTGTCTCAATGCTAATCTTCATAATTTTATTTACATTTTCTCCTTCGAAATACTTTTGCAGCTTTCACAAAATAGGCATTTCTTTAATCATTAACAAGTAGTGAACTCTAGTTAATCAGTTGAATATTTACTTGTATTGATGGGGACGTGTTGAGATTTCAATATTGATGATCAGTTATTAAAACCAGCCACTGACAACCAATCAATTACTGGCTTGTTTATCCAATTCACTGTTTTTTTTCTAGTGATTTTTAAAAAACCTTACACAACAGCACTGCACATTATTAGTTCTAAAATACAAAGTGTAAAACTGATGAGTCCTGATACTACAAGTTGTAGACGATGATGGTCACCTTTCTAGCCTTGGCTAAAGAGAGAATTTCTCTTTAGTATAGTGATTGAGTGTCGCCCAAGAGACCAAACAGTCACTATACCCTCACCAGAATCATGATAACCTAGAAAAAGAAGCCTAATTCAAACCCATGCACATAAGAGCAGATTTGTATATATTAAATATATGCATCAAAATCCAAGAAAATCTCAACATTTTCATTTTCAGTCAAAATATGAATCAATCACGCCTTTCCAGATACAATCAACAACGACTACACAATAGCTTTCATTTCAATGGAAAAAAATTAATTAATTTAATGTTACCAGGTACATAATTTTCAAAAGTGAAGATTATTTCAAACGTCAATTGTTTAAACCATGTAAGAACCTTGATGTCATAGGCATAGTGGTACCAAAGATTAAGATATTGGCAAGGAGTGTGTGTGGCAGGTCTAACTAAAATATGAAGTCCTAGTTTTAGAATAAGGACAGAAATCAGTTACCCTTTCAAATGTGTATGATCATCTATGCAACACTGATATCTTCCATATAATAATTGAAAATATTCAAACATTGTTTGTATTATGTAGTGGGATTAAGACCTTACCACAAAATATCTACAGAAGTACACAGGAAACTTTAAAAGTGTGGTTAAAGTGAGATAAATTGAACAGTGTAAATAATAAAAATGTCCTTCCAAACAGAGTAGAAGCGTAGTAATATCTACATGAAGAAACTCCAATTTGTTACTTAAAACAAAACTTTTTTTCACATTTCCTTTTTCATCTCTTTATCTAATATACATGTATTCAATAAAAGACCGCATCAACTGCTTCATGAACTAATTCCAAAATAGATGTTCTATTCTTTTTGCAGAGGTATATGTGCGTTGTTGGGTCTTTTTGTGTTGTAAAATTCGGTCCAGTCTATAAATAGCCTAGCTAGCTACAAGCTGATCTAGGTAATAGCTAAAAAGACTGAGTGTCCTACAATGAAGAGTTTTGATATACTACATGTATCTAATAAGTATCGTGCATGAGTGACTTTCTCCTTGGGCTAATTTACCAAAATGTAATAATGTAGTAAAATTTGATTTCACCTGATATGATATGTGTACAGTATATTACCTCTGAAATTTCTATGAAAGCGAACTACAAAATGTCTCACCTTCCCTTTTTCTTAGAAATTAAAGAATTATCTTTCTTTTTGTTTTTCCCCTAAGATATTTATAAATGATGAGTCAGGAAATGACAAACAGTATTCTGATTTACAGGAGGCTGTTATTATGACACCATTAACACAAAGTGATAACTTTCTGTTTTATTCCTTTCATTAAAAGTTAATCTTCTATATCCCCTGACAGTCAGTACATAGTCAACTTACATGGTGAGGGTACCCATTCCAGCAATTTGAGGAATCTGCAAACCATGGTTTCTGAAATGATATGAGGGTAAACATTTAAATATGATTGACTCCAAGTTCATTTTTTTTAAATATTGATCAAAACGGTGAATATAAGATTTGATCTAAACTAGAAATATGGAATGTTTAGTAAGTAATAAGCTGAGATGCTTGATGTTGCCCTTGTTTCATTTTAACTCCTTTAATTACCTTTAAGTGAGCTAAAACAAAATTATTAATTGCACATCACTTTCGCAAAAGCACTTGTTAATAGTAAACATATAAGTCACACTGACTAGTTAACACAACATTCTGTCACATAAATGTTTGTATTATATACTTACATCCCATTGGACCATCACACCATATATAAATACAGAGATGTTCTGTCAAATAAATGTTTGTATACTTACATCCCATAGGACCACCACACCGTATATAAATACAGAAATGTAGAAGGCAAATCTCCATCTGTAAAATATAACAACATTTTCCAGGTTAAAAAGCACACCTAGTATAACTGAAACACTACATATTCCCTAGGCTGCCCCAATGAGCTTTTACAATGTAATGAATTATGAAGATGGCACTCTTGGGTATTAATTTGGAAAAGGAAAAAAAAGAAAAAACATACATTTAGTTAGTGTTAAAGGATTGCTCAAAAGTCTGTAAGGAATGAAGTCACTGGAGTGCTGATCAACAATTTTTTAAAAATAGTAACGGTGACCTTGACCTTGACCTGACAACCCAAGAACTCAACTTGTTCAAAACAATTTAGGGCTTTCAAAATGAGTAATGTTTTTTAATATTGAAGGAGTGAAAATGCTAGACTGCTGACAATGATTGTCTAAAAATAGTTACATTGACCTTGTGACCACAAAACTCTGGAACTCAAAACTGGTTAAATGTATTTTGCTGTTGTATGAGTTTGTGAAGTTTGATTAGAATCCTTCAAGATATAAAACCAGTAGAAACCTGACAATTATCTCCTAAAAATAGCACCAGTGATCCAACAAAATTGAAATTTTAACTTTTGGAAGATAATATGATGCTTATGAAAATTTTTGAACTTTGATGAGGATCCCTAATGAAATAAAGTCAGTAGATGCTGACATCAGGTTTTTTTTTTAATAATTAAAGTGACCCTAACCCAACAACCCTGAAATATGACAAAGATATTTTAATGCTTCATAAGTGTGTGAAGTTTGGTGAGAGTCCCTTCAGGCCAGGTGAGCTATAGGGTTTCTCATATCTAACTGAAATATTATTCAGAATTATAAATTATATTGAATCATGTGTTAAGTGCATTGGTTCCAACTCTTTAGACTAATAGTATTAATTATACTTTATTTAGGGTTGTGTTGAAATCTATTATTCACTTGTGTGGTTTTTTGTAAAAGCATTTTAAACCTTACATTGACCAGTTGAGGTTTTTCTCCTTACTATGCTCTGCTTTTCAACAAATTACATCTATAATCACTGAACATATGCAGATTCTACATTAAAGGAGTTTTACTATACCTGTCTGATCCCTCCCATTATCTTATATAATTCTAGAATGGTAACTTCAATATGAAAGACACAAAACAAGTACGTTACTCCTTGAATGGATTTTATAAGATCTCTGTAATAAAGGAGTTTGTAGTAGAATTTCATGTGAACATTTAAACAAACCGTTATATATATAAAAGATATTTGACACGAGCAATAAAAAGAGATTAGTAGTATGCATCTTGACTTCAACGATGTGAAATACATATGAGAATTTTATTTCTAACTAAAGCATTGTTGACTGAGGGTATCACAGTGTAAGGGTTATTTAACTGTATGGTACTGAACAAGTCCACAGTGGGAAAAAATTGATGTGAACTGCAGTAATGTGGTAGACAAGTAAAGTGGAAAGATGAGAAAAGGGGATGTAATCATTGGTCTGTAAGCCAAGGGGAGGTCTGATGAAAAGGGGAGGTCACTGTATATACACTCACTCACATAACTTGTGGGCAGGACAGATGGGACAGTGAATATATAACGTACTGTCAGTCAGACAAACAAATATCATTCCAGAGTGGGGTGATCACCTGATTACAGGACAAACACATTAAAAAAGGAATCAGACCATAATAATACACACCAATAATCAATACCTCGCCTCCCACTCTATACACATGTAAATCTCTCTTCCTACATATATCTTTTACCAATGACTAAGCTGAACTGGTACAGCAGTCAGGACAAGTAGCTAAGACAGCAACAGGTGATGATGAGTGGCTAAAACAGTAGCTGGTGAGGATGAGTGGCTACAACAGTAGCTGGTGAGGATGAGTGGCTAAAACAGTAGCTGGTGAGGATGAGTGGCTACAACAGTAGCTGGTGAGGATGAGTGGCTACAACAGTAGCTGGTGAGGATGAGTGGCTACAACAGTAGCTAGTGAAGATGAGTGGCTAAAACAGTAGCTAGTGAGGATGAGTGGCTACAACAGTAGCTAGTGAAGATGAGTGGCTAAAACAGTAGCTAGTGAAGGGAGTGGCAACAACAGTAGCTGGTGATGATGAGTGGCTAAAACAGTAGCTGGTGAAGATGAGTGGCTGCAACAGTAGCAGGTAAGGATGAAGGGCTAAAACAGTAGCAGGTAAGTATGAAGGGCTACAACAGTAGCTGGTGAGGATGAGTGGCAACAACAGTAGTTGGTGATAATGAGTGGCTACAAAAGTAGCTGGTGAATGGTGAAGGGGAGTGGCTACAACAGTCACTGGTGAAGGGGAGTGGCTACAACAGTAACTGGTGAGGATGAGTGGCTACAACAGTAACTGGTGAGGATGAGTGGCTACAACAGTAACTGGTGAGGAGGAGAGGCTACAACAGTAACTGGTGAGGATGAGTGGCTACAATAGTAGCTGGTGAATGGTGAAGGGGAGTGGCTACAATAGTAACTGGTGAGGATGAGTGGCTACAACAGTAGCTGGTGAGGATGAGTGGCTACAACATAGCTGGTGATAATGAGTGGCTACAACAGTAGCTGGTGGGGATGAGTGGCTACAACGGTAGCTGATGTTCCAATTCACAGCAGAATTTTACTTGATGAAAGAGCTTGATTAAGTTAATATCCCTTGCCAAGACTCCCATTCTCAGCTATACATGTAGCCTTACAAGAGTCCTGTTTCTGTCCTTGTGGAGACTTGTATTACATCTGTATATTTGAATAGTTGGAGTGCTATGAATTAACAAAAATTAAGAGATATTCCTAATAACTCCAAATTATAATCTTTAACAATTATGTTGTGGTAATTTTAGAATGGTTGTTTTGCTTAAATCACTGAAATTCTTGAAATAGAAAAGATCTGTTTTGAAAAAGTATATCTGGAGTAACCCTCCCAACGTAACTGGCACTTTCTTTCAAAATACTTCACTCACTCCAATCAAGCTATTTAACAAGATTATGTCTCTATCATATATCTGCAAAGTTGAATGTGGTTTGTGTTTCTCAGAAAGATGAAAGACAGACCAGTTTGTGTAAGCATGTTTATATCCATGAGCAAGAGACACTGCCCTAATTGTTCTAGATGGCATATGATGGGCCTCCTGCATGTTGTTCAATGAGGTTGTCATCAGCTTCTACAAAATGACCCTGGCTATTCAAAGGACAAATAAATCAAACAAGATAAAGTCATTCACAAAGCAGTAAATTACCTCACTAAAGAGAGACCAGAAATCCTCCCTTACATACAGATGGTTAGGATAGTGTCATTTGTTTATCTTTCTGATCTGTATGATTACTTTCTGGACTGTATGATCATTTTTGGTCTGTATGATCTCTATCTGGACTGTATGATCACTTTCTGATCTCTATGATCTCTATCTGGACTGTATGATCACTTTCTGATCTGTATGATCTCTATCTGGACTGTATGATCACTTTCTGGACTTTATGATCACTTTCTGATCTGTATGATCTCTATCTGGACTGTATGATCACTTTCTGATCTCTATTATCTCTATCTGGACTGTATGATCACTTTCTGGACTTTATGATCACCTTCTGATCTGTATGATCACTTTCTGGACTGTATGATCACTTTCTGATCTGTATGATCAGTATCTGATCTGTATGATCACTTTCTGATCTCTATGATCTCTATCTGGACTGTATGATCACTTTCTGATCTGTATGATCACTTTCTGATCTCTATGATCTCTATCTGGACTGTATGATCACTTTCTGGACTTTATGATCACCTTCTGATCTGTATGATCACTTTCTGGACTGTATGATCAGTATCTGATCTGTATGATCACTTTCTGATCTGTATGATCACTTTCTGATCTGTATGATCACTTTCTGGACTGTTTGATCACTTTCTGGACTGTATGATCACTTTCTGATCTGTATGATCACTTTCTGGACTGTATGATCACTTTCTGATCTGTATGATCACTTTCTGGACTGTATGATCACTTTCTGATCTGTATGATCACTTTCTGGACTTTATGATCACCTTCTGATCTGTATGATCACTTTCTGGACTGTATGATCACTTTCTGATCTGTATGATCACTTTCTGGACTGTACGATCACTTTCTGATCTGTATGATCACTTTCTGGACTGTATGATCACTTTCTGATCTGTATGATCACTTTCTGGACTGTACGATCACTTTCTGATCTGTACGATCACTTTCTGATCTGTATGATCACTTTCTGATCTGTATGATCACTTTCTGATCTGTATGATCACTTTCTGATCTGTATGATCACTTTCTGATCTGTACGATCACTTTCTGATCTGTATGATCACTTTCTGATCTGTATGATCACTTTCTGATCTGTATGATCACTTTCTGGACTGTACGATCACTTTCTGGACTGTTTGATCACTTTCTGGACTGTACGATCACTTTCTGGACTGTACGATCACTTTCTGATCTGTATGATCACTTTCTGATCTCTATGATCTCTTTCTGGACTGTATGATCTCTTTCTGGACTGTATGATCACTTTCTGATCTCTACGATCTTTTTCTGGACTGTATGATCACTTTCTAGACTGTATGATAATAAAGTGTTTTACTAAACAAATATGTATTAAGTCCATGTCTATACATTATTCCAAGCCTCAATGTAACAGGGATTCCTAGACATGTCAACAACCTAGCAAATAAGAAGTTTGTACCGGTATAAATTTCACTGTACAAGATGAGTGTAAACAAAGAAATCAACAAAACTACTGTTTGATGTGTGCATATGTATGTGGACTGTTTTAAGTACAATTTAGAATTGCCCCCCCCCCCCCCCAAATATATATGCTCTTTTCAAAACTTGCCAGCAACTGAATAACACAAAACCACCTACTCAAACTAGTTGATTCTAAAGCAAATCCCAGATATATATATAGAAAACAAATTCTTAAATCCTTACGCAGCTTCTGTAAAACGCTTCATAAGGCTCGGACGATCTTGATTCCTCCTCATCCGAAACCACCTTTCCACTTTTCTCGTAGATAAATCTGTCTGTTTTGATAAATCCTGCAAATCAGATCATAATGAAGAAATCAAAATTTATTGAATTAAAGGATATTTTCTAAATATAAGAACAAAATAGCAATATAACAAATCTAGAAATTAACAACACAAAGTAATTATATGTAATATATAGCCACATGTTTTTGTTGCATAATAAGCTTCACCTGGAAATCTTAGTAAGATGGAAACTGTATGTCATTCATTAAAAGCTAAAATATACATATAAAATATCAATCTATTTCTGTACATATATTTGTGGGTTAAAATTTAAATCAGTGTTACATGATTTTGTATTGATTGCAGTTGATAACACTTTGGTGTTTTAATTTCAAACTTTTCTTGAAAATTTAATTTTAATTCAATTACCTGCTCATGTCATGTAAATTTTGTTTTAGTTTTGTTTTACAACAGATATTAAAAAGAAAACATCCACAGCACACCACTGCATATCTGTATGTTTCAAGGTGTGTGTTCAATGTTAATTTATCAACATTTTAGGCCTCAAAGTCCACACAGCAACAGAGAAGGAAAATAGTTTATATAAACTGGACAAGAAAATCTCATTGTACTTTTTTCAATCATCAATCATAAAAAAAATCACCAAACAACCTAGTGCAAGAGAAAACCTGCCTACTAACAATGCTAAATAATGCAGAATCTGGGGTAACACAGGAGATCAATCTGTCACTGTTGATCGACTACTACAATAACTGGTTAACATAGTCACCAAGCATTTTTGTTACACTTAAGTTTTGATGGTGACATATAAATACTAGCGGCTGAGTATTGGGTGCAGGGTTCTGACCTTTGTTCGGCTATATAAACCTTTTCACCCTAGTTCTACAAAAAAGGGAATATGACAATTTCATACCAAAATTTAGGATAAAAACAACAAAATGTTTTAAAGAAGAATTGAAACCCAGTGATGGAAATATGATTTACCACTGTTAACTTCACTTCAGATTCCAATACTTAAAAAGATTAATGTAAAATATATAGCAAACATGTCACACTGTGTACTGGTCTAGATCAAATACAGTAAAAACTTCAGTGTCATAACATTTATTTACAAGGAAAATGAACCAACATTTATCAATTATTTTCAAAACAATGGATTTTCTTTCTTTTCTGCAAAATTTGTCTTTAATATATGATAACTGTGTAGCCTTCCAATACAATCACCTGCCTGATTACATATGGTGCTTGCAGTCTGGTAACAGCCTAGGGAGGATCAACCCAGTTCTCGAGGGATAGCTTTTTATGACAAAATTTGAAATTGTCTGACACTTAATTATTATAAATATGTTTGATATGCAATACTACAACAAACATTTTCCTTTCTGAATACCAGTTCTTGTTGTCTGAGGTAAAGATGTTTTTAACAGGTGTCACATGAAATCCTTCCTCTCATATGTTTTATGTTTAGAGAAAAATCATTAATATATTCCCTCCAGAAACTAGGACTGAGTGCTTGTGGTCAAAGGAATACAAGTGGTTAGCAATGGAAGAATAAAACTACATCATACCATATAAACATCCTGAAACAAAACAGCCGATCTAATTACTACATCTATGCTATAGTACATATTTTATTTGTGACTAGTTATCTCCCTTTAACACCTCTCTATCATTATCTTATAAGTAAATCACAACAATACTGATTTATTTTCAGCATTGCTAATGATAAATCCCTTTGTTTTTGAACAGGGTATTTTTAGCATATACATGTATATAGATTCATATTACAACAAGTCAATACAAAACTGGCTATTTTTGGAGATAAACCATTTGTTTCAAAACTTTAAACATGGCCAACATAGACTATAATTCTATAATAAAGATGACCTTACTCTTCGATAAAAAGTTACATTAGGTTCATCCTTACAATAAGCCCAGGGGCCCAGTATATAATTTTTATCTTACTCAAAGTCAGAGGATGGGCTTGTTACTGGGCAGCAAAAATTGCATTGTATGATGGTTTTATTTGAGAATGTTGTATATATTTAGATCTACAGTAGCTCATGCATGATGTAGTATTATATCGCATGTAATTTCTACTTGGAAAGTTTCCTGGTGAAGTGGATGGTTTCTTCACTTTACATACATAGTATCAATAATCAGGAACATCAGACCAACACATTATTTACTAGTATCAATCATCAACCTACAAGGTAGCCCTGAATCAATGAAATAATGTCATTGCCATGTTTTATAATACTGTTACAGGCTGTTATGTACTGTTGTTATAGGCTGTTATGTACGATTGTTATAGGCTGTTATGTACTGTTGTTATAGGCTGTTATGTACTGTTGTTATAGGCTGTTATGTACTGTTGTTATAGGCTGTTATGTACTGTTGTTATAGGCTGTTATGTACTGTTGTTATAGGCTGTTATGTACTGTTGTTATAGGCTGTTGTGTACTGTTGTTATAGGCTGTTATGTACTGTTGTTATAGACTGTTGTGTACTGTTGTTATAGGCTGTTGTGTACTGTTGTTATAGGCTGTTGTGTACTGTTGTTATAGACTGTTGTGTACTGTTGTTATAGGCTGTTATGTACTGTTGTTATAGGCTGTTCTGTACTGTTGTTATAGGCTGTTGTGTACTGTTGTTATAGGCTGTTATGTACTGTTGTTATAGGCTGTTATGTACTGTTGTTATAGGCTGATATGTACTGTTGTTATAGGCTGTTATGTACTGTTGTTATAGGCTGTTATGTACTGTTGTTATAGGCTGTTATGTACTGTTGTTATAGGCTGTTATGTACCATTGTTATAGGCTGATATAGGCTGACATGTACCATTGTTATAGGCTGATATGCATTGTTATAGGCTGTTATTTACTGTTGTTATAGGCTGTTATGTACTGTTGTTATAGGCTGTTATGTACTATTGTTATAGGCTGATATAGGCTGACATGTACCATTGTTATAGGCTGATATGCATTGTTATAGGCTGTTATGTACTATTGTTATAGGCTGATATGTATTACTGACATGTATTACTGGTGTAGACTGACATGTATTAATGGTGTAGACTGATATGTATTACTGGTGTAGACTGATATGTATTACTGGTGTAGACTGATATGTATTACTGATATGTATTACTGGTGTAGACTGATATGTATTACTGGTGTAGACTGATATGTATTACTGATATGTATTACTGGTGTAGACTGATATGTATTACTGGTGTAGACTGATATGTATTACTGACATGTATTACTGGTGTAGACAGATATGTATTACTGGTGTAGATTGATATGTATTACTGGTGTAGACTGATATGTATTACTGGTGTAGACTGATTGATATTACTGGTGTAGGCTGATGTGTATTACTTGTGTAGGCTTAACATTCTGTTTCTGCTGCATTCCTCAGTTCAGTGGTTAAAAGAACTACAATTGTGTTTTGTTTATGATACAAATTGATAAAAACATCACATGACATTTGTAATTTTATCTTAGTATATGTAGGCCAGTAAAATTCCTGGAGTGTTTTCATGATAATAACCAAGTATCACAAGATTGTCAGATTTTATCTGATACAATCTTCTGTAACAAATACTGCTTTTGTGCCTATCAGGGGAAACTACCTTTTATTGCAAAGAGAATTTTATTGTAACAGTAAAGAGTGATAGTTTTCAGTGTTTCCTAGTCTGTTGAAAGGTTGGACCATGTCCAAATTGCTGCTCAACAAAGACAGGTCATCAAAACAACAATTTTCAAGGATCAATCAAAAAATGTAAGGGGGAAACACTAATAACTTTGTTTAATTGGGGTTTTACCATCATGTCTTAGCAATAACAAAGCAAATGTCATAATGCTGTGGTGGGACAACAAGAATGACAACTAAAAGTGCCATCACACTGAAATGTCCTATCCTGGACAAGGGGTCACCTGAGGGAAATCTAAATGTGACTTCACACTAAAATATCTTATCCTGACCACGGATAATGAGGTCACTTATGGGAAATCACACTTTAATGTACTACCCTGGCAATGGATAATGAGGTCACTTAGGGGATATCACACTTTAATGTACTACCCTGGCAATGGATAATGAGGTCACTTAGGGGATATCACACTTTAATGTATTACCCTGGCCACTTGTGATGGGGTCATTTCAGAAATATCACTTGAATGTACTACCCTGGCAATGGATAATGAGGTCACTTAGGGGACATCACACTTTAATGTACTACCCTAGCCATGTGTGATGGGGTCACTTAGGGGACATCACACTTGAATGTACTACCCTGGCCATGTGTGATAGGGTCCCTTAGGGAATATCACACTTGAATGTCCTGGCCATGGGTGATGGGGTTAACAGAGGGATACCACACCTGAATGTCCTATCCTGGCCTTGGGTGAAAGGGTTAACAGAGGGATATCACACTAGAATGTCCTATCCTGGCCTTGGGTGAAAGGGTCACCAGAGGGATATCACACTAGAATGTCCTATACAGGCCATGGGTGAAAGGGTCACCAGAGGGATATCACACTAGAATGTCCTATCCTGGCCATGGGTGAAAGGGTCACCAGAGGGATATCACACTAGAATGTCCTATCCTGGCCTTGGGTGAAAGGGTCACCAGAGGGATATCACACTAGAATGTCCTATACAGGCCATGGGTGAAAGGGTTAACAGAGGGATATCACACTAGAATGTCCTATCCTGGCCATGGGTGAAAGAGTTAACAGAGGGATATCACACTAGAATGTCCTATTCTGGCCTTGGGTGATGGGGTCACCTAAGGGGATTGGGGTGTCTAAATGTGCTATTACACTTTTGTATCCTGGCTGAGGCAAAATAACAATAAAAAATAATTTTCAACAGTGGCTGTTAACTCATTTCCTTTTTCATGGTTTTTACCTGGATTTTGTCATTTTCAGGAAATTTGTGACACCTGTAGGCTTTTTCTAGGACTGGGTTGGGCGGAGGTTTCCTTGGTTGTGTGTCTCTGATTCCAAAATATCTACCAACAGGGGCAGCTACAAACCTGTGGAAAGAAAAACCAGTCAAATATTAACTTAAAGCATTGTACAATGTTGTCTAATCTTTAAACACAGCATAGGTACATTTCATAGCAGTCTGATTAGCAATATATTGTTACAAATGGATTTTGCATCATTCTCCAACTGCTACAGTTTACAGAAATACCTTAGGGTTATATTGCTTCCCTTCTTTGTAAAAGAGATCAAACTATTGCTAAGACTTGGCCCTGTCTCCATAATTAACTATTAAGAATGTTAGAAAATCTGCTAAATACTATATTTTAAGTTAAAACTCGGTCCTATAAAATAACTTTCATCACTTGTTTGATCAGATCTTTGTACATTTTCATACATTTATCAAATTTGCTGAAACATATTTTTCTGTATATGTATAAATACACATGAAATATACATGTAATGGCATCCAACATATTTTCAACCTCAAAGACATTGTATTTAGTAAAGTGCATTCCAGAAATGTAATAAAATGATATTATCAGCTGATTACATGCTGTATACCATAATTAGGATCAGCAGATGTTGATGACATTCCACTAGTTGATTTGAACAAGTACTATATACATCAGGATGTGATGACTTTTCATAGGTATCAGAAAGCCAAAAATTATTAAAACAACAAAAAATCTCTACACATTCCAAACTGCAAGTTAAGCATTCCATACATTCCTAAGCAGTGCAGTTGAGGCTATTTTTTGCAGTGTGTGCTGAGTACAGTCAAGTCTTGCGATAAAGATATATCTATAGTGATGATGTGCATTATCATAAATCACTTCATTCCAAACGTCCCAATCATTCAATCTCTCCAATAAGAATGAGTGTTTGCTATATTTAAGACAGGTAGATACACTAGAAATGGTTTGAATTCTTACTACCTCTCTACTACTTTATTTTATCCTTTTTGAGTCAAAAGGGAAATGACCACTTATGTACTTAGCTTTAAATTATCTCACAGTCACTAGCTTCACTCATGTTCTGATGTTAATGTACAGGATCTGCAAATATAATGGCCTTTCTGCCTTTTAGTCCACAAAAACAGAAATTCTTACCAGAAGTAGTATTACTAGAAAATAGAAACAGTGTGTGTGTGTTTGGGGGGGGGGGGGGGGGGGACAAAAAACTTCTAGTAACTTTTATAAATATAATTTCAATCTTTTATGGTTAAAATTGCCCATCAAAGACAGATGCTAATTAACATTGAGGTCAGTGTCCTGTCTGACATCAATTATACAGAACATACCATGGTCTAATTATGCTACAGCTCAGTGCTCCCTGGTGTGACTGGAATTTTGTCAGAACTCATGGGGCAAACATTATGAAAGGAAAGAGGTTGAGGTTGAAATGGACCCCATTTAACAGCTTATGGCCGTCTGCTGACATATATTACACCATTTTATGAATTTTACGCTTTTGTCTATCCCATCAGTTTCTACATTAGTAACATACACCATATGATGTGGGATAACAGTTGAATGTTATATGTATCTTAAAGCATTGCAATCATTTTGCAAAATACTGATAAACAATATTTACCAGTTTTGGACCCAATAGATATAGAAATATCGTTCAGCATATAATTAATAATGCAAAGTATTATTGAACTATTTCATGACCAACTGCCTGTTATCATTTGTGATTCAGCACTGCCTGCCAAAACTTGTAAAAAAAATGTAGCATAAGACAATAAACAAACAGTGTTGTCCCCTATTGGGCCCCAAAATTAAAAATATGATTCAGCATACTGCTAATAACTCACATTAATGCTTGAGCTATTTAGTAATCAACTGCTCACTGTCATTTTAAGGTGGGATGCCACTGAAGGCAGAGTAACTACATTAGCCCCAAATAGACAAGCTAAAAATTTTGATTGAAATATGTTAAAAGTAGTTCTTCAACAAGCTTTCATTGCTGTTATTAAAATCCATCAGAGTATCATAGTTTTCAACCCCTGTAAAATCATACAACGTTATGCCTATTTCTATTACTGGTCTGATGTTTCACATGACAATATTTGAACTACATAAAACTTTCTAGGAAACTAATCCAATGATCATCAATTGTGATGGAAGCCATTGTCTCCTAACAAGAAGAAATTAAAACTATGTGAAATCTCTGTGATACAATTATCAAATGTACTTTACATGTTTGATTAAGAGTTGAGGACTGGTAGATATGAAGAGTGTAACACTTATCCTTATTGTGACCAGAAATCTCAGTCAATGACTGATCTCTGTACATTGCTCACACAGTGAACAAACAAAACAATCCCCTATATGTAAAGGTCACTGGTTCAATCACATGTCCAAAGTCTTCTCTATATTTAATAGATACTGTCTCCTTATATTACCAATTCTATCTTTCAAACTTAATTTATTGAAGACAATGATGTGTTATAATTGAAATTCCAAATAAATAAATTGCTTTAGATACTTGATCTAAGATACTGTATCTAAACTATCAACTTTAATCCAAGTAAATCACACAACAAGCATTACCAGTAAGTCAGATATTTATTGGCCCACAAGTTTCCCCTCTGGTGTAAGGGTCCATCAAGGCCTTACTTGCATTAATTTTGATATTTTATTTCATCGCCTGGCAAACCGTTCAGTATCCACACCCAACATGCAGCATCCCACTTACCAACCAACCCACTCACTCTGAAATGATGTTGGCCTTTTTTTGTCAAACTAACACCTTGTTATACAAAGTACAATGTAAACATACTAGAATTTCAACTGTCTACACCAAGTTTGTGCATAATCAATCTTGATTAAAATATTATCTTATTTTGTTTTACTTTTTCCTATAAAATATTCACATCATAATTCATATCAAATCTGTTGAGAGGTCCTCAGACATGACATCGACTCTGAATGGCAAGACACAGGTTGAGACAGCAGTGAGTAACACTATATGCCCAAGCCCTGTCCCTAAAATAAAAGGGGCTACTGATTTGACAGCTTAAAAGGTAAATGCATGAAACAGAGTAAGGACATTATAAAGGATTTGGGGAACAGGTTGCATAATCTGACAAAAGTCTTGGTTATTTTTTTAAAAGATAGAAGGTTCAAGGTTATATGACACATTACACAGTTATAACTGAACGCACTAGGCAAACATTACTGTTAGTGCAGAATTATATATTGGTATTTAAAACAATTTTTGAATGACGCCTGTGTGACACCTTTTTAGATCTTTTTATGCTGTTGAAAATCGAGACAGTTCCACTTGAGACAACTTTAATAAGAGTACAACAAACATTTGTACATACTTGTCACACTTAAGCAGGAAAGGTCTAAACATCTCTTAGTGTATATTTTGTATGAGGTGATACAATTGCAGTATCTTTGAAAATGGTTGTAAGCAACTGTCAACCTGTTCTGGCATTAAGGACACCTCATCAATTTTCTGTTCTTCTGAGGTTTTTTTTCTTTCAATTGCAGCATATTCCCAAAGGTGGACCTTCCCTATGATTGCCAGTAACATACAGTACATATAAGAAGGATCAGTACAGAGAGATTTAGGAGGAAATGGGAGGATGAGATGGAAATTCAACTTCATCATAATCTGATCAGTGTATCAATATTTGTAAGAAAAATTTGTGAGGATTATTCACCAGAGAGGAATAGACAAGAGCTAAGAGGAGTAATTCAGTTTTTGATTCGGAAATGAAGAATTCACTTCCAACAAGAAACAGCAGATTTTAAAGACGATATTGATTAAGAGTATGACTTTGTAACACTGACATTGAACTGAAGCTTTAGTCATAATGATTCTTGCTTTGTTCTCTGAACAACATCGCATCAGAATGTCACAAGAAATATGAAACATATTATACAAGACCATCAAAGTCTGATGGTCTCTGTGAAGCCTCTGTGAACTTGACTTTCAACATGGAAATCTTAATCTGTAGTTAACTTATGAAAACCAGCTGTAAATGAATATTAGATCAATTATATATCTGACTCAACTTGTATTCATAGTAAATGGTGTTATTCACATGTGTCTTTATACAACTTGTACCATTTACCAAATTTCATCATCAATTCTTGACCTCAGGCATGTTACTTCAATAGTTGATCTCACAACTTCTTTGTTTTAAACATGTACTTCAATGTTTCATAATGCATTAACTAACTAATTACATTCAGAATTCAAATCCTGTTTTCAACTTCCTAAAAAGTAAAGGTAAAAAAAAGTAAATTTTCAGACTTCAAAGAAACCACTTTGTCTTTAAGAATGTTAAGATTTAAGCCTTCTTTTGCAAATGAAGACACTGAACACAAAGGCACTTTGGCTCTCAATATGATATACATTAATGCAGCATATGGGCTGGAAACCATGTACCAAAACACTTCAACATTGAGACATCTACTAGTCATCTAGACAGAAGGTTCCACCTCACCACACCAGTATAACAGAGGCCACCCCTAACAATACCCTAGAGCAATAGACAGAGCTGACATGAAAACTGTACTACAGTAACTGAAAATGAATTATACTGAGATGAGACTACATCAAGATAATGATCAAAAAGAAAAGAGATCTAAAGAGAAGGCAATGAAGGGAATATTTGGTGACAAACAAACCATTATTTAAATTCCAAGACAATTAGTGAAGTCTTGATGTTGTGGCATCAGGTTATTTTTGTGACGTCAATGACAATGAGTGAATGGCGAGTTATTATATAGTCATTATTTCTCTGTGTGTATATGGGTGGGGCTGTTTAAAGAGACAGACCTGCACATGAATTCAAATGTAAACAGCCATGTTTCCTGTTGCTTCACAATATGGTCACAGAATTAGAATCCTATGACCTATAAAACTTGTGGGTATTTAAATATGGTCAACACTTATCACAATACTGTACATGTTTGCCAGCTTGAACTCAATACTGGACAATTCATGTAGAAGAATATCTGACCTTAACACAAATCTCCTTAAACCATGTACATATATAGAGGAAAAATGGATTTGATCTCAAGCT